ATGCAGCTGTCAGTTTGTCAACACATCTTTTATTCCCATAGTCTGCAAATTTTAACATTGTTCCTTTCCTTCTGTCCTCGATCGGTCAGATTACCGTTTGAATCCAGTGCTCAGGAAGGCCTGCAAACAAGACATCCCCAAATTTTGCCAAAATATTCTGAATACTGCCAAGGATGATGCAGAGTTGGAGGGACAGGTCATCTCCTGCCTCAAGTTGAAATATGCGGACCAGGTGAGTGGGGAAGGTAAATGTGTAGTATGTGCTGCACAGAAATGTGCCCCGCACTCTGGCTAAGTCGCCTAGTAAATTCAGCTCTCGTGCAGTGCGCACGTGCACCAGTGGATACGGGCTTTGTACTCACAATTTCTCTTTAATTGCTTCTTAGACTTTCCATTTAACCCAGTCGTTAAGGTGCCAAGAGAGCTGACATGCAGACATCAAGCTTATTACTTGGTGGACTAATTGCTGCCTTTCTCCTCTCCATAGCGTCTGTCTCCAGACTGTGAGGATCAGATCCGAGTGATAATCCAGGAATCGGCCCTTGATTACCGGCTAGATCCCCAACTGCAGATGCACTGTTCTGATGAGGTAAGGGCCGTGGGCGCTCTGTCCTATAGCTCAGGTGAAAATGCTCCTCAGCAGCTTCGCACTCTCTGCCCTCTTTGGCAAGGCAGTGGACCTGCACCTAGCTAATCCCAGGCTGCCTGGCTGCAGAGTGCACCTAGCACCAAGGACCTGTGTTCTTCGGCACCGTTGGCATTTCTCGGTCAGGCTTTGCCTCTGGCATGCACATGGACACTGAAGTACAAATCCTCATCATGACTTCTGAAAAGCAGACACATTAATGGTGCCTCTGGAGTTCCCCTCAGTCATGAGTGAAGCGCAGTAGAGGAAATGTTTTGTCATTTCCACGTCCGTGTAAGCTGTGGCTCCGGAATGGCGTATTCCACACCAGAGCGGAGGTTGGGCCATGTTTGATTCCTCCGCTCCTGCCTCTCTGACCTGGGCATCTCAGAACAGGAGTAGGCAGTAAGTCAGCAGGGTGATCGTTGTGAATGGGCCAGTTGGCAGAAGAGCGTGGAAGGAACCTGTGTGCCCTGGGAAGGAAATGGGCATGTTTCTATGCCTGGGAGGGGCGCTGCTGGCTAGGGGAGCCAGGAACTGAGTTAGCTGGACTGTAGATGTCTTAATGGGTGAGTGTGTGGATCCTTAGGGATCCGTTGCACAGCACCTTCTGCTCACCTCGCTTTCTTCAGTGCCCGCAGAGGCCAAACTCCTTGCAACCACCCTCCCTTGTTGGAGATGGAAAGTTCTGAACTGGCAGCACGCCCCCCTGTCTTCTCCCTTCCCCTCCACTATGCACTCCAGCCTTTAAGTTCACTGCTCTTGTGTTGGATCCAGGAATAGTGTCTGCTCACATGGCCTTCAGATCAGACCGTCCAGTAATCCTCCACAGACTTAGCACAGCATCTCGAGGTCACTCTTAAGCTGCTCATTGACCTCTCCTTGTTGTAACTGCTTGTCAGGTATGCCCTCCTTAGTGAGAGTGGAGCTGCCGACTCGTAGTTATTAGATGGGTATTTTCCCTGTGAAGAGTAAGCAAGTAAGCTGTAATTGCCACAGGCCTCTTTAAATAAAATGAGAGTTCCCTAAATGTGAGCCCGCCTTGTGCTGGCGGTTCTGCATGGGAGAATTGGCAGCCTTGATAGCAGACTTTCCCTATGGCCTTCCATAGAGTACAGTTGCAAGGAGACTTTCGCACTCATTTCGTTCTCCTAAATGTTTTTGTCTCCGCTGGATATATAAGAGAAGCTGTCTCTTTGCAGACTTTCTAAATGGATTTTGGGCTGCATCCTGCTTTGCTATCAAGTGATTGCAATCCCAGCCCTGCAGGGGGGAGGGGTCCTGCTCAGCTAGGCCAGGTAACCTCTGTGGCTTCCCTGCAAAGCCTCCCTCATTTTAAGATAAGTAGGGCAGCAATGCAGAGCTTGGCATGTGTGTTTGCAAGATGTTATGCCCTGGTGCAGGCTTCAGCAATGGACATCTGTGTTATCAAAGCTGCCCTTCACTACCCTCCCTCCCCCCCTTTCCCCACCTCAGTGCACATTGCTCGTGACTCCCCGCCAGTGGAATACACAAAGGAATCCTCCCTTGAGGAATAAAAGAGTTGACTTACACTGAGTAGTAGCTGGAGTTCTTCAAGGGGATTTGATCCCTGTGTGCAGTCCAACACCCACCCTGAGTTGCCTCCTTAAGATATTTGCTGTGGAGGAGTAATGGGTCTGCATCTCTCCTTATGCCCTGGGTGGGGGAGCATGAAGAATAGGGCACAGACCAGTGGATACTGCTAACAAAAAATCTTCTGGTCTCAGGCTCATGGAGCACATGGCAAAACGGCACATAGGGACAGCACATCTCAGTGGGTATGTCCACACTAGCCCCCCAGTTCAAACTAGGGAGGTTAATGTAGGCATTCGAAGTTGCAAATGAAGCCCGGGATTTAAATATCCTGCACTTGATTTGCATCTTCCTGGCCAGTCGCCATCTTTGAAATTTACAAGTCCGGACTAACTGCCTGCATCTACACGTGGCAGGGATCCGGTAGTTTGAAATAAAGCCCTAGTTCGAACTACCTGTTAAACCTCATTCCAGGAGAAATAACAGGTAGTTCGAATTAGGGCTTTATTTCGAACTACCGGGTCCCTGCCATGTGTAGACTCCAGCAGTTAGTCTGGACTTGTAAATTTCAAAAATGGCAACTGGCCGGGAAGATGCAAATCAAGTGCAGGATATTTAAATCCCGGGCTTCATTTGCAACTTCGAATGCCTACATTAGCCTCCCTACTTCGAACTAGGGGGCTAGTGTAGACATACCCAGTGTTACCGTGCTGTGGGAGTAACTTTGTTTTTGTGAAGTCGTCCGTGTACAACGCATTTGGACAGCAGCAGTGCTCTTCTTACTATACCACAAAATCAAAGTCCATTTCTCTATGGATTTGCAAACCAAGCAAGAGTATTTTTGAGAAGAGATACATCTTTGTTGGTTTCTTTAAACAAGAATGAATTAACCAACGTTCTGTTTCAGGACACTGCAAATATTTCTCGCTGTGCCTTCTCCAGCAGTTCCTGCAAAATCTGACAAATAGGTTTGCCCTTAAATGCAGCTCTATTGCTGCATTGTCAGTGAACAAGAAAATTGTCAGTGTAAACATTAAGCTGCCATAGGCTGTTAAGAAAAATCATGCTCTGCAGACATGTATACACATAGAGTAACCCTATGGGTTTTAGCTAAAACTGCAGAGAAGTTCTTTTCCTTTGCCAGCGACATCCATTGCAAACTATCCAGGTCTGAATTCAAATTCCAAACAAGAGGGCTTTAAAGACTGACAATTATGGAATGCATACACCTGAACAGCTATTTACTGAAGAAGCTTTTTTCTAACTTATTTAGCGATCAGAACTAACTAGTGCGACTTGCCTGTGGCATCAGTACTTTCAAGTTGGGCGTTGTTTCCCAATGTTCTAGAATAGCTTTTTCTACAGAAAGCTGCTGTTAGTAGGAGTGATGGTGTCTGATCAATCAGGAACACAAGTTTTACTAATTTATTATCAATTTTTGTGGCTAACTTTCCTAAAAGTCCACATGTGACATGCTGAGAAGAATCTGGGGAGGCAGATTACCCTGAGCAATGAACTTTATAATAATGCTGAGGTCCTTTTCCAAAGTAAAGTGCGATACATTTCTAACATACTGTTTCAATGGTACTTCACACCTGTTGGGTTAAAAAACAGGTTGTATGGGCACGAATGTTGGAAATACTTTGGTAGAGAAGATTTTATCCACTGTGTGTAGTTGGAGACTATTGGGGCACAAGTCAGAACCAGATGTCACAAATGATTGAATATTTATTACCAAATGATCCGTTGGTATCCTCTTGGGCTGACCAGCTGAAAAGGTTACACAAGAGAAAATGAGAATTAATCTCTTCTCTGCTTGTAGCTGCTGGGCTACTGATCGCCTCCCTCTGGAAAAAGAAAAAAGCTCAGCTTTAGAGAAACGGTTAAAAAGTGTGGGGTTATGGATAGGAATGTAAGCGATTCATCAACTAGTCGGCTATCTGATAAGCAAAAGCTTATCGGATAGTCAACACATTAGTCAGCTAATTACTCCCTCCTCCCTTGCTGCCTCTATCAGATAGAGGCAGCAAAGGGGTGGGAAAGAGAGGGTAATTCAAAGCAGCAGCACTGCACGGAGCCCATACCCCGGGCTCCAATGGCGCTGCCCCTTTGAAACACCACTGCGGTGTTTCAAAGGGGCATTTGAAATGTGCAAGAATCCCTGCTGAGATTCTTGTACATTTCAAAGCGGAAGCATTGCAGAGTGCCTGGGGCTAGCAAGGGACTTAAAGTCCCCTGCTGGCCCCAGGCTCCACGTGGTGTTTCAATCTTCCAGTGGGCTCTTGCTACATTTCAAAGTGGAAGCAGCCTTATCAACTAATCGAATAGTCAATGGAAATTCCAAGCCAAGTAGGCAGGCAACAAATATTGAGAGATTTGGTTACTTTGAGTACTCAGAGCACCTTCAGCTGTGGAAAAACCCAGCACACATGGCCAATGTTTGACTATTAACATGTGACTTGCCTGGTCTGTTATGTGTAATTTGAGATTTCACAAAAACAGGTGCATATGGTTGGTGTTATGCTTCGCACTCTGTACCAGGGTGACACTGGTTAAACAGAGATTTGATGGCTTATTCTCTGGTCTCTCTAAACCAAAAGCTGTTGTGTTTCTGTTATTTCCATGGCACAGATTGTAAAGTGGTGAATTCTGAAATCAGTACTGTATTGGTCTGTGTACAGCTTCTTTTACATCAGGAGTTCCAGGGTGCAAATGCCGGAGGGAGGGTGATGCAGCTCAGGGTGCACTCCCTAGCCATTGCATGTGATACTGCACTAATGTGGCAGCCTGCTAACACCGTGAAAGCAGCCTGCGTCCTACACTATTTCATTCATGTTGAAATAGGGATTTTCCCTCCCCAGATCTCCAGGTTGTGTGCAGAGGAAGCAGCAGCGCAAGAACAGACTGGGCAGGTGGAGGAGTGCCTGAAAGTTAACCTGCTCAAAATTAAAGCTGAGATGTGTAAAAAGGTAAGAAAAGGGTGCCTCTCAAAGCGCAGTAACTCACTAAGCTTCCAACATGGGAACACGGCTCATTATGTAGCACAGACCAGGGCTTGGAACTGCGTGAATCCAGGACTATGCACAGCTGAGCTAGTGTATCTTGCTCCTGGCCTGCAGCATCCTCTACCATTTCAGTCCGGGCTCTGACATATGCTTGCCAGGGAATCTTGGCTCCCTATGCCAGTCCTGGCTGTGCATGCATACCCATTGTGCCTCTAGGCTGATCCGCAGCCCACTCTTACTTCAACCTGAGGTCTCTTGAGCACACATTGGCACTGGATCCTGCAAGGAGCTTTGTAAACTACCCCACAAATCTGACCTGTTAGTCAAGCTAAATTATTTGACTTCGTGCTGCAAATCAGCATGTGTGTTTAATGAATTGAACTAGGCTGATCCATCTAGCAGCATTGTCCTCTAAGCTCTTGTTTAAGAGTCTGAGGTAACTCTAAAAGCAATTCACTGATGCGATTTGTGTGGCTTTCTTCTCCCTCCTTTAATGTGTCCCTGGACTAATCTTTTTTTCTTCAGGAGGTGCTCAACATGCTGAAAGAGAGCAAAGCAGACATATTTGTTGACCCAGTCCTTCACACAGCCTGTGCCCTAGACATCAAACACCACTGTGCAGCCATCCCGCCCGGAAGAGGACGTCGTAAGTGTTGGCATGTCATACTGTGTGAGATCTCCCACCTCCCAGAGGGATCGAAAACTGGGATCCTCCTGGGGCGACTTGAGGTCCTCTTAGAGTAGTATTGCTTCCAGTCATCCTGGCTAGTAAATTAGGAATTTAGATTTGTATGTCCTATGGTGTCCTTCCTCTCTCTGGATGGCTTCTTAGCTTGGAATTCTCTCCTTGCATTGCCTAGTAAATGTTAAACTACTTTTGTTCTTTCTAATGTTGGTTGAAATTATTATGCCATTTTTCTTACAACAATGTTAATTTCTGCTATAGAATCAGCAGTAGGTTAAAAATGTGCTGCTGCATTGACACTGAAAGCATTGCGGGTATCTTCAATGCTTCCTCACATTTCTTCTCTACAAGGACGGACCTGACAATCCTGGGGGTGAACTGCTTTTCCACATACGTCACTGTCTGGCCCAGATGGGATACCTGACAGTTTGTCTTGTGTTACACTAGTTCTTGGAGAAGGTGCACAAGATTTAGCATTCTTCAAATTATTTTAGCGAGCTGGTCTGTGAATCATAAAATATTCTGGCATCTCAGCTGAGCTTAACTCTAGAATATTTAACATTAACCTTTTGATCCGGCTCCATTGGTCAGCATTCCTTGCCACTTAAATAGCTGAGGTGAGACCTGGCTGGGCGGCTAGCTGTGAGGGTTACATAGAGGTTTCCTTCCAAACCAATCTTAAATTACATTCCCAGCACTGGGCCCAAGGACATTTGATGGGTGGCTTATCTATACAACTTTGGCTCTCTCTCCACCATGTTCCAAGGAACTGGACTGCACTGCCCTGTCCCTGGGGCCAGTTCGTGTGTGTGTGTTGATACCGCGTCTCCATTTTGCAGAAATGTCTTGCCTAATGGAAGCTTTGGAAGACAAGCGTGTGAGGTTACAGCCTGAATGTAAGAAACGCCTTAATGATCGAATTGAAATGTGGAGCTATGCTGCAAAGGTGAGGGTGTAAGGGGAGCTCTGGTTTTTGGCAATGTCTGTTAGGACATGGGGTTCCCAAACTTTTTCCCTGAGGCCCACTTGTGCAGCTGCAGTAGGCACTGTGGCCCCTTATTAATAGTTTTTAAGGAAAAATATATTAAATTAATTACCTATAGCTTCAGTATAGCACTGTAAACAATGTAAATGTTTTTCATTTTAATGTAAATAGTTACCATAATGTCTATCAACAGTAATGATAGAAATCCCTAGTAACATGCACTCAAATACTTGAAGATCTTTGAAACCAAGTAAAACTGCACTTTAAAAAAAGTTGAGAGCAAAATGTTGTGTTCAAGCAATGTATAACGGTACAGCATATAAAACTGAACAGGCAACATAACCATGTGAACAAAATTGTACGCACTGTTTGATTTTAAAACAAAACTGTCCAACTTTGAACACATTTTGCTTTCAGTTTTTAGTGTAAAATCTGAATTTGAGCTGTGTAAGTGAAGACCTAATCCTCCTCTCTACTAATTAGAAAAGAATAAAATATTGCATATAAAAATAATTGACACAGTGAGGCAACGTGTACTCATCCACCCTGATAAAGGAGAATCCAGATTTCAAGTATGGGTTATATTTATTTACCACTTTATTTTTGTGGCTGGCTCATTTTTGTGTAGCTATAGGTGATCTGGGGCTTTCATCAGCTTGGCCACCAGTGCACACTTCTCTTTTTCTTTAAAATAAATCGACTTGTGTCAGACTGAAAGACTGCTTTTTTAAATGGTGGGCCGAAACACACCGCTGTGCTCATGAGAATTAAACTTGACATGTTGCAACTTGTTTAATAGTGTCTTTTGGGCTCTGTCCCACACAGAGCTCAAAACACTGCACTTGTGTAATGTAGATTTTACTGACATGACAGGAGTCACTGGAGTTAAGATTCACTAAGAGCTTGAGTGGAGAATGCAGTTGCATCTGCAAACCACCTGGGGCTGTGCCGTGGCCTACAGTTTGGGAACCCTGGGTTAGGAGACTGAGATGTGGTTCGTGTGATTTCGACTTAGTGTCTTGTGAAGGAATTGGCAAGAGGCTGTGGTCATGAGACAGCGTCTGAGCAGATGTGCCTCAGTCCTGCGTGGTGAGAGGAGGGATGTGATCCGCTCTCATGATTGTCAAGCAGAGCAGTTGGGAAGGACAGTTCTTTCAGATCACAGATAGTTAAACGCAAACCAGGGCTCAGGACATAATGTAGCATTCAAGCTGCTGCTTTGTTCCATGCTAATCTTGCTTTGCCTAGATAGTGTATCGTGTGTTGTATGTGTTCAGTGGCATTTGAATGCCCATGCATGCCAAGCCCAGAACAAAGTTGGGACCTTAATTCAATAAAAGGGAAAGAAGGACACTTATACAACCCCTTCTTCAGCATCTGTTACTTGCCTAGTAACACTGAACTCAGAACTGTTCTGCGCGCCTGCGGCAAGCTCACACACAGGGCAAAGGGTGCCAACGGAGGAAGCAGTGAGAGGAACTGATGTGAATGGAAAGGCAGGATGCTGGAGAGAGCTATGGCAGGAGCTGGGATGCCTTTGGGCAAGTTGGAGCTTTACAGCTTTGTGTCCTGGTGGACAGAGTCCATCTCCTGCATGCCTATTGATATGTCCCAGCTCACATGTGAGATAATTGTGTCCCAGGGAAATTGTTATAAAAAGAGCACACTCGATGCTTACAGGAGGCAAGCAGGGAATATACCCAGTCGTAAAATAGCATTGTTCTAAAGGGCTTCATGGCTTCGCTACAAAGGCTGAGGTGGAAACTGAGGTCATGTTAATTATATTTTCCTCCTCATTCCTAGGTCGCCCCAGCAGAAGGCTTTTCTGATCTTGCTATGCAAGTGATGACTTCTCCGTCCAAGAACTACATCCTGTCCGTTATCGCAGGCGGCATCTGTGTACTCTTCCTGATTGGCCTCATGTGCGGACGCATCACCAAACGGGTGACACGAGAGCTCAAGAACAGGTAGAGCCTGGATTGCCTGCTGAAGTCATGCCTGCCCAGCGCCCAGTTTGTACAGTCGTCCTCTGTATAATCAACCCACCCAACCCCTCCCGTGAGGAGAATAAAAAAGAATTAGAACAGCAGCAGGTGTCGGCTCAGTTGTCCCATCTTGGATCTCGTCCATGGCATCTTCATCATCCTATGAAAGAGTTGGTGTGCAACACTGGCAGGCCAGCCAGCAGCTTTTGTTCCCCCTTGTTAGCGGACTCCTGTTACCTGCCTGTAGATGAGTCTCTTTATTGTCTTGTTGGAACTGCCTTCACCAAATCAGACTGACATGACCTGCAGCTCAAGCAGTTTGTAAGTAAATTTTTAAAGGAAGAAAAATACATACATACCAATCACAGCAGGAGTGAGGCAGTGTTCCTTACTGGGATATGTTCGTATTGAGGTAGGAAATTAGAGGGTAAATTGCATCACTCACCGCAGTTGGCCTTGTTTCGTACATCTTGCTCCTGCTATCCCAAGCACCTTCAGGGGATGTCCATCAGTGGAGTTTGCCTCTGAATGGCCAGTTTTTGAGACTGGGGCTTTGGCCTGAGGAGACGATGCCCTCCGATTCCCCTGTTTTCCTCCACTACTCACTGGATAAAACAAAATACTGGCAGGATCGCAAATGCCAGTGGTCTGATTTGCCATTTGAGCTGTAGAGCATATCCTTTGGTTAGGGAAAGGGTGTGGAGGTTAAGCGTTGAAGAACCAGTCAGTGTAATGTGACAGCTGCAACTTACAGACCCTGATTCATCAAAGGCAATGCAGTTGAATTTTGTCACTCCTTTATTACTGCCCTGTTGCCAAGCTAAGACCTCCCTTAATTAGCTATTCAAAGAAGGTCATGATGATACATTAGCAACGTTCCATGTTGCCCAGTGATGTTGAATGGGACTTGAATTACCAATGTTTGTTTCAATAGAAGGATTGTTTATGGGTTAGTGTGGTGATTCATCATTGGCCTCTCCAACTCTTAATTGCTTGAGTTACAGCATTAAAAACAGACTAAAAAAGTTTCAAACCTGTGAAACCCTGGTTGCTATAGATGGAATTTGGCATCTGGGGATGTAGGTCAGAATGCTGGCCCTCACTGTGGGGCAGGAGAGAACTGGAGACATGTTGGTAGTGCGAGGTGGAGGACAGACATGTTCACCTTTTGAGGGGAATAGCTTTGTCACCCACTGATGTGCACATGTGGGCTCTAATAACATTTCCCGAACTTGATTCCCAGCCCAATTTCCCAGCTCTAGGGAGGTCTTTTGTAGAAACACTTCTAGCTGTGGTAACTTCTTACCATCTTCTGTGTTCCCCAAGGCATGGAGGAGATTCCTCCAGGCCACTCCGTGGCTGGGACCTAGGGTGGACAGGTTGAGTGTGTGGTTCAAGTGGGGCAGTGACTGCACGAGAGTCGGCATGTACAGTAAGATAGAGATATATATATTTTATTAACCTTTTAGATGTGTTCTCCTTGGTGTGCTAGAGTATACATCATGTGCCTAACACTCTCCAGCTAGGCTAATGCTTGATCCATAACTTTCTTTTCCTGTTCCCTCTTATTGCACTGCTTGGGTAACTTCTGAAGTTTCCAGTGTTAGACATTGATCTGATACAAGATGGGGGCATTTCTGAATGTGGACCAGCTGATTCTAGTTATGCTGCATAGACAAACTGATCTCTGAAAATACTGTGATTGCTTTTGCTACCCTTACAAAATGATAGAGGGGAGGTGAAAAGTTGAGGTTTTTGGTAACATGTCTCTGCACCAGGCCACTTTGAAGACGGAAGATAGACTCAGAGGCCCAGGGTTAGTACGATGAAAATGAATTAGAAAAGGTCACAGGAAAGACAACTGGTGGTGGTGTCTGGAGTTTAACCAAGGGACTGTCAAGACTGGACAGGAGATGAGAAGCCAAGCAGTGGAGCCAGTTTCACAGAAGAGAACTGCCATCTTGCTTGGTGTGCTGTAGGTTTCCAATCAGGCAACATGTTAAGTCATCCTTGGAACAGAAATGGAGTCTAAATTCCTTCCCCACTCAGTGCTACTTGTGTGGTTTTACTGATTCTGCATGAGTGAAGCTGAGGGCCAGTAAAGGCAATGGCAGATCACATCACTTGCACAAAGCTTAAAAAGGGTGTTGGGTGGCACACAAATGAGTGTGTGGTGTAGTTGCAAAAGCACATGGTTTCACCTCTCACTGGAAGTGTCATTTCAATAAATAGGCAGCCAAGTCCGGCAGATGGGGTGAATTCAAAGTGCAGGAGGAAAGGAAACAAGATTATATTTTCTCCCCAATGTACAGTGTGTGTTGGCGATATTAGCGTTGCCTAAATTTTGCTATGACAAAACTGAATTGCCGTCCAGGTACTTTGTATTTTTTGAGGGCATATTTGTTTCCTGTTGAACTTGAAGAGCCCATCTGAAGTGGTGTAAAATACCTTGACTAGCAGCTTGAAGTAAATCCCACATGCAATTGTAGCAAAATATTGTAGTGGATTTATCAGCCGCTTTACTTTCCAATGCAAGTTCTCTATTGGAGCAGGTTAGGGCTTGGAGAGACTTGATTTCCTGCATTTTCCATTGCAGCAGAGAGCAGAACAGTGATGCAGGAGGAAACATTAAAGGCAAAAGACAAGTTAGCTGTGTAGTGCAGCGTAGAGGTAAGAACAGAGCCCCCGAGGGTAAAGAGCAAACATCGGCCAGAGGAGAGCAGGCTTGTTCTGTGGAATACAGAGTCTCTTCTTGAGTCCCTTCCAGCCAATCTCCATGTTGGTGCTCTGTTTGAATACAGTATTGTCTCAACCAACTGCAGTCCTCATCCCTGCAGCTGTGCCATGCGGACACCTTCCTCCAGGCCAGGTGTGTCTTTTGCTGAAGCCTTCACAAACCAAACTCCCAGCAGCTGCATTTTCTGGGTATTGCATTAAGCATTTGCTGTCTGCATGGTTTGTGCTGTCAGAATGTCACCTGGGAACTTAGTTCAGATGTCAGTGGACAACGGAGCACCTGCATGTAAAGGGGAGGAGTGGAGGGAGGCTAGTGAGACCTGAACCGTGTATCTGGAGCTTGCCTTCTGTAACAGTGTGCTCAGAAGTGCAGTAGTGTGCAGGCCCAAATGTCCTGTTGCAGGGGCTACAATAGAATGGAGGGAGCCCCATCTCTCGCAGGGAATTGACATGGTGAAGGCTGGGCAGAGAACACTGTCACTGGCTGTCACTTTTAGCCATTTCATAATCATTAAGATTTATGCCCAAGTTACCGCCCTAAAAATGAGCCCCCACCCCTCAACCTATTGGTTTGCTAAACACAATGACACTGGCAAAGAAAGTCAGGGTGACTAGAAATATTCCAGTACCCTGCATTAGAAATGCCACCCTAGCATGGAAAGACCTTGGACCTAAAGAAGCCTCCAGAAAAACACAACAAAATAACTAGTCTTGTTCCAAATATATCCTGATTGCTTAGGATCTACCCTTTGGGTATCTGACGAGCCACTCGCTGGCTGTATCAGTAAATGCCCAAAGTAGATGGACATTCCCTATTGCTGGGAGTACAGAGAACTACACTACTGTAAAAATGCACCGCTGCTTTCGTGACTTTAAGGGCACTTTTACTTTGATTCAATGAAAACATTAGTAATACTTGGAAGTAATCTCTCCAAATGGCATGTGGCAGAAGGTGGCTTCTAGATCCAAGGGCTCCTTGCCACTTCTTTACTTTTAGTCCTAAAGTTTGTTGTTCCCCTCCAGTCTGGACTTGACCATCACCCCTCAGTTAAGGGAGGCTGCTGCTCATCCATGGGCTAGGCTGTCTTTGTGCTAGTATTGGAGTGCTGATACTCTTGGGAATGGCTTGACTGAAGTAGCCAAAGGAGGAAATAACTCCTAGTAAGGATTGCTCAGTTGCCTACTGATACATTCAGATCTTGCTGTCCTCAGGCAAGAGAACATGACTAAAGGGAAGGGAAGACTTGTGTAGCACATTCTTCTCAGTACTTCACTCTGGCTAACCAGGTGGTGGCTACTTGCCCGTTCTTGTAACAAAATAGCCTTATTTATTGTTTACGAATGGGTCAGATCCAAGACTTTGATTTGTCTTGTTGCCTTTTGATAGGTCTGGCCCTGACTCTTGCCTCCCAGAAAATCGTTTTTCAAGTGCAGATAGCTGCAGTTAAGGATGTGAATTGGAGCAGCATTCCTTCTAATGCTTCACTCAAACCTGTCCCTCCCCTTTGCTGCTGCAGAAGGACTGAAAGACTCCCCTGGCTTTTAGAATAAGATGTTAGAATAATTCTCTGCAAGATCCATACAAACCTGACCATCTTAGCCCTGAGTGGCACTCTTGCAGCCTGCCCAGTGGAAGGTGAGCTGTCTACTCTGGAGGGCAGCACTTTCTAGTTAGCATTGAAGGCGCTTTTCTTTGCTGTGGGGTGAAGGGGAAGCTGAGGAAATGTGCTGGCAGTTTGCCCAGAAGTGGTGAGCTCTGGTTTATCACATTCAGGGGAAGGTGATTTCTGTTAACTCAAAGCTATTTAGTTGAGAAGGAATGGCATCCTTTGAATTTTTGACAGCGTTTTGAGTTTTCAAAGTGAATGTTGAATTCAGTGTGATGAGATCATGCCTGACCAACTCATTTTTTCCTTTCTATTTAAAATATTTCTGTATAGATTTATAAACTGATTTCACTGTGCCAGTGAGGTTTTATTACAATCCCCTCATGGAGCAGAGCAGCTCCCAGACAGGTATTGTTGCTTTCCAGCTTCTGAGGGTGAGAGGGGCCAGCCCAGGTTTTAAGCCTAATGATGAGCCCATGTGTTGAGTCCCCATCATGGTGTATGCTCAATTCTCAGTGAAGCCTCAGTGGAAGGGAGAGGACAAGTACAGCCAAGATCTCAATCTGGTAAATTGGTACAGCTGCTTGTCTCACATTGTTGGGCTTCAGCTTATGTACGCTGCAGAGTGTTACCTGTAGGGCCTGCCTACAAGGATGGGGGAGCAGTATCCTGCCACCTTTATTGAGCAGAAACAGCCTTATCCAAAACTTAACTATTTTGATTTTGTAACTCTCTGAAAGCAAAAGCTCTGTGTTCCAGCATCAGTCACTGAAATGCGAGCACAAAGAGCCTGGAAAAGATGTTTTGTTTGTATAAAGGGAGACACTTGAGCATCTGCATGGGGGAAGGGTCTCCAAATAATATGCAACGAATAACATTGTTAGCCTCCCCACGTACAGTGTACAAAACAGAGCCAAGCAAGAAAACATAGACTGTACAGCAAAAACTGTTTGAACTTAGTCCTTTTTTAACGTAACATTAACAAGACTCTTTGTAAATTGTTTTCCTTTCTGTGTATAAAATCCTCGCTGTTTCTTGTTTTTTACATGTCCATGCTGTGTAATTTTGAGATGTTCCTGAGATTCTGAACATAATGTGCTTTTTTTCTGTACAGATGAAATGGGAGAATTTAATAAAAAAAGAGTCTGCAGGTTTTTATTTGTTTTTATTTTTAATTGTGAATTGAAAGGATTCACCCATAGATGTCCAGAGTGAAACTTTCTAACTCAGCTTAATGTTTTAACAAACAATTTTACTAAATAGCTATACAGCTGAGTTGCACACCAAACAAGTGTCGAGACACAAAATCTGGCTACTTATTTTATAGTTCAAAAATGTTTTACTTTGCTGCCTTAGGCCAGGTTTGAAGTGGTATCCTCAAGATGAAAGTCTTCGTTGCCTGTTACCAAGCTCCCTCCTGTTTGAGGACAGTCAATTTTTTTCACAGAACCTTTCAAGATGATCCCCCTAATACAGTGTTTCCCCATTAGTGCTCTGCAGAACCCTGGGGTTCCAGGAGGAGCCAGCACTCCCCTGCCCTCTCTGAAAGAGAGAGTTTGCTAGCCAACTTAAAGAAACGGTGCACTTGTTTCCTGTTCCTCCTTTGTGATGCAGGGGCAGTGGGGAACAGTTGCCCCCAGCAGGCACACTGGGGGGGGAGGGTGCCGGACAAGTGTGACCCACAGCAGGGAGGGAAGCACTTCCCAAAGGAGCCAGCATGTGCTGCCTGAACAGCTGGGGCTGTGGCCCCCGGCCACTTAGTTCTGTGGCCTTTCTGCACGGTGGGGGAGTGGGAGGTCAGGAGACCTGGGGCTGCACAGCTCCAACTGTGCAAGGAGCAGCTCTGCCCTGGGACTCCCTGCACCCTCCCCCCGAGCAGGATGGCATCACAGAAGTAAGTTGCTGGGATGCACCAGCCCCTGCTGTTTGGGGAGGAGAAGTGCAGTGGCACACTTCCTGGAACCCAGAGGTGTTGCAGCATTGCTAGGTACTGGTCCCAGCTGCCCCTGTCCCCTGCCCCATCCAGACCCCCACAAGTACCCTGTCCCCACCACCCAGCAGCACCCTGCCCCCACCAGCACAGTTGGGACCACATTAGTGAGGCTTGGGGGTTCTGGAGGGTTTTTTTTCTCTCACTTGTGTGGTCCCAACTGACTTTGGTGGGTCAGTGACCCCTGACTCAAAACAGGTTCCCCGCCCCTCTCAAAGACAATGCTAAAACCTTTTTTGACATTTTATTTCAAAATGAAGCTGAGCCAAACCCCCCTCACTGCAGCATCATAACACTTCTGTACCACCTGACCCCATCATACACTGAAACCCCCTCTCCTGAGCCTCTTAAATCCCCCAACTCCTGCACCCCCACATCCTCAATCTTCTGCCACAACACTCCTGCACCATCCACACATCACAAATCTGTGTCCTGAGCCCATCGTACTCTCAACCTCCTAGCCCTGAGCCTCTCTCATATCCAACCCAAACTCCTGCACCCTCACATCCACAAGCCTGTGGCTTGCTCAGCACCCCAACCCTCCACCTGAGCCCAACATTTCCCCAGCCTGGTGCCCCCTCCTGCATCCTCCCAGAGCTTGCACTTCTCACCCCTTCCCACACCCAAATCCCTCATTCCCACCCCAGAGCCTGCACCTCCTGTCTCAGCCCAGTGAGTGTCTAAGGGCTGGCGATAGCAAGTGATTGAGAGGATAGGGCCTCAAGGAAGGGGTGGGATCTTGGGGAAGGAATGTGATTTTCATGCACTGGTGGGTCCCCCTCCCGCCTTGTTTTTTTTGCTTGACAAACCTAGGGGTTCCTTGAAATTCTGAAAAGCTGAAAAGGGTTCCATGGCCAAATAAAATTGGGATACGCTGCCCTAATAGATTAAATGCAAACCTTTTGGATACCCTGATCATCTGTTAGCTGTGCTTTATGCACCACCATGCTCCAAGAACACTAATCCACTCAACTAGCTAAACAGTGAGCTATTCACATCATTCCTGAGCCCACCACTGGTGTCCAAGGATTGCCACAGCTCAGTGATTACTTGATCAGTTGTGCATTGAGGGGCCAAAGGAAGTCTCATACCAAACAGCTGCTTAGTGAGTTTGCCTTGGAGATGTTATACTGTTGCCCTGCAAACCTCTCTAGCTGCAGCATGTCTCAATGAAACCAGTGTTCTTGGTAAACAAGACAATGTAACTTTCAGTGGACAGAGTTAATTTCTACAGACCCAAGCTATAAACATGGAGTGCAGTAGGTTTGTTGAAACTGATCTGTTGGAAAAGGGTTGATTGTCAACGCAAGGCATATCTTGAAGTTCGTGTTCTCCTGAGACCCAGTAGATTCATTAATAAGGGGAGCCAAGTTCCCAGATCAGTTGATCTATTGCATTCCAGTGAACCAAATAAGGCAGGAGATGGTTTTTCATGCTGCATATATGCTATAAACTATGTATACAGCCTGGGATGTATAGGGCCGGATTTGTTCTTTATTAATGACCTGGATGAGGGGATGGATTGCACCCTCAGCAAGTTTGCAGATGACACTAAGCTAGGGGGAGAGGTAGATACGCTGGAGGGCAGGGATAGGGTCCAGAGTGACCTGGACAGATTAGAGGATTGGGCCAAAAGAAATTGATGAGGTTCAACAAGGACAAGTGTAGAGTCCTGCACTTGGGACGGAAGAATCCCAAGCATTGGTACAGGCTGGGGATTGAATGGCTAAGTAGCAGTTCTGCAGAAAAGGACCTGGGGATTCCAGTGGATGAGAAGCTAGATATGTGTCAACAGTGTGCCCTTGTAGCCAAGAAGGCTAATGGCATATTGGGGTGCATTAGAAGGAGCATTGCCAGCAGATCCAGAGACGTGATTATTCCCCTTTATTCAGCTCTGGTGAGGCCACATCTGTAGTATTGCCTAGTTCTGGACCCCTCCCCCCCCCATAGAAAGGATGTGGACACATTGGAGAGGGTCCAGCGGAGGGCAACCAAAATGATGAGGGGGCTGGAGCACATCACCTATGAGGAGAGACTGAGGGATTTGGGTTTGTTTAGTCTACAGAAGAGTGAGGGGGGATTTGATAGCAGCCTGCAACTTCCTGAAGGGAGGTTCTAAAGAGGATGGAGAGAGGCTGTTCTCAGTAGTGATGGATGGCAGAACAAGGAGCAATGATCTCAAGTTACAATGGGAAAGGTCTAAGTTGGATATTAGGAAAAACTATTTCCCTAGGAGGGTGGGGAAGCACTGGGCTGGGTTCCCTAGGGGGGAGGTGGAATCTCCATCCCTAGAGGTGCTTAAGTCTCAGCTTGACAAAGCCCTGGCTGGGTTGATTTAGTTGGGGTTGGTCCTGCCTTGGGCAGGGGGCTGGACTTGATGCCCCCTGTGGTCTCTTCCTGCTCTGATTCTATGGGAACACTGACACCCCTCCAGCCTGTCGTCTTCTAGTTCTCTAGCAGTATTTTTGGGAATGTCTGTTAATCCCATTTCTTTTCTCTTCATGCTGCAAAAACATCCATGAGGATCCTGTCTACGTTCTTGAGTCACTTAACTTGAGTCATGGTAACTTTTGGCATTTTTTACATAGGCATTGTAAAACATTTTTCAAACCCAAGAGTCTCCTACCTAATTCTGTGCTGTTCTGATTTCCTTGAAGCATTCAAACGAAGTGTTGGATAGGAATGGGATGGGCAGCCATGGAACCCAAACTCATCTAACCAGAGGTACAAACAGGCAAGTTAGTTCTTCTGAAACTGAAGTCTGTTCCCCAAAGGTCAAATTCTGCACCTGTGCAGATGCTATCCAAAAGCACAATTCTGACCATCAAATCTGAAATCCCAAACCCCAATGTAATTTACTAAAACAATGTGCACTATTAGAGATAAGTAGTGTGTATTGAATTACTAGGGACTGAGCCTGCATCCTCATTGAAATTAATGGGATTATCTGCAGACATAAGGATGAGATGAATCAAATGCCTACTCCAGTACTGCGACCTTAGAGAATCATTTAAAATCAATTCCTTTTAACCTGCCACCCCTCTGCCCTAAATAGCTCCTTAGAAGCCACATACAGGAAGTAAGCCTCAAAGGGCAGTCAATATAATACAAAAATCTCTTCAGCCTGACATTCTTGACTGCATTTGACTTTACCCAGACAGCAAGGACTTTTGGGCACTGGCAGAAGAATAGGATGAGAGCAGCCCTGGAAAGTAGGAGCTTGATTCCCAGTAAAATCCTTCACATGGCTCCAAAGAGAAAAGTAAACTACTTTGGAATCTAGAGCTTTCTTGGTTTTCCAACACATCAGCACCACACCCATTGGCTGCTCGTGAAACAGCACTTTCCAGCCATCTCCGTTACACTGTAGGACAGCACTAGTGTCTGTTAGGGCTGCTTAGGAGCCAGACTTGGAATACTACACAATGGCAATCTCTGGTTTTGCTATATTTCCTCAGAACAACTTCTCACTAAAAGTAGCAGGTACGTATGTGAGTTCGCTGTCAAGGGTCCCTTGTATTATAACCTGGACTCATGTTCGATTCTTATGGTTTGTAGGCAATAAACCTTCACTGGAGCGCAGTGCAGAGTTCCTCTGTTAATGTTCCAGGAGACGGGCATTCCAATAGGCCAGGGTCAACACTTATTGTGTCAGATCTATCTTCTGGCATTCAAATTAGCGGTTCTACTAAAGATCCACTAAATTGAATGCTGGGGGTGCCTCTGCTCAGTACCAGTGCTCATAAGGACTAAGGGAAGCCAGTAGGAGCATGTGTACCCATTGACCTCCCACTGTGGAGATGGTGCCAAAATCAGCTTAACGTACATTGACTTCAGCTACAGTGAACCCTCGTTTATCGCGGTAGATAGGTTCCAAACCCGACCGCGATAGTTGAAAATCCGCGAAGTAGGGACATGTATATTTAACATGTATACAGCGAGCCCTCGCTACTTCGCGGTTCGACCATCGCGGATTCACGTATATACATAATGTAATGAAAAAAGTCCGCGAAGTCGTGAATCCGCGATGGTCGAACCGCGAAGTAGCGAGGGCTCACTGTACATTATTTACAGACCTGGAGTTGCATAGGTGTAGTGCAGACCTGGCCTTAGGCTAGCCTAGAGATTCAGCAGCTCTAACCACTTAGCCAAACCTCAGATTCA